TTTAGTCGGACTTAAAAGTAAAATTTTGAAACGATCATGTGATTTGGAGTTGGATAAAGATTAAGAATCATAGAAGAAGACTAATTTTTATTAAAATTAATTTTTTTTTAATATTTATAGGCCAATTGTAGGTCTTGTTGAAGAGAAGATATGAATATCGGCTCTCTGTGTCATACTTTCAAAGGCTCAGGTGCAATTACTGTAGTCGTGCGAATCTCTGAATTTTTATTTGGTTTCCAAACTTGCTTGTTTGAAACGGGTCTATATCCATGTATTTGGGTAGAGAAATAATTATACATTCAAAATTTTATATAAGGTAGATATTACAATTTTTTCTTACATAGATTTTTTTTGCTTAAAAGGCTAATATAGAATCATCCACTGCCATTGATATAATAAATATAAATATATATATCTTAGTTTTTTGAGAAAAAATTGTACAATACGACATCTTTTTTGTTCACAAAACTCATAAATTTATGGGTCTTTCGATTTGGTGTTAGATTTTTATTTGGGCTCCAAAATGACTTAGTACTTGTACTAAACTAACCTAAACAAATATAAACAATTCACAAATAAATATAACCAAACCTAAAATCATCTTGTATAACAAATATAATGAATATTGATATATTTCTTTTAGAAAAATCTATACCTTAGACTTCTTTTTCATTTTCTACGAACTCCTAAACCTAATTTATCTTGTGATTTGGTGTTAGACTTTAATTTGGACTCCAAAGAGCCTTTTAGGATAAATAAGGAAAAGATGGAGTTGCTAGAAGTTATTCACGTTGGGAATACTAAGCCGGAGAGTTAAAGATGTGAGGAGATGCTTAGAGGAAACTATTTGTTCTATTTTTAAAAGGGATATTAATACCGAAAGAGTTTATTCATAATAGAGCTAACCAAAGAGTCAGAAGGAAGTATACACCAAAACATTGTCTATGAAAAAATACTCGATAAGAAATGACCACGTTCCATATTTCTATATATAGGTACATATATTATCTAACTTAACTAATTTGATTATATTCACATATTTAATTCAAGTTTATGGTATGTGATAACATCGTTCTCAGCATTTAATTAATTGATTGCTATAGTTTTATAATCAATTGCTATATAATAATTTTTCATCTAAATAATTGACTAAACATCTACGTACAAAGCACGTACATAGAGACTAGTATATTATAAAAGTACGAATATTAAAACGTTAAATGTTGATTGAAAAAAATATCCTTGAAATGTTAATGGACTTTTATATCCTTGAAAATTTAACTCTTTTTGGGAAAAGACAATATCATAGTGGGTAAAATTGTAAGATTTAGAATTTTGCTTATACTAGAACTCTAAAATCAGCCAGGATTTTAGAAAATCATCGCCACTAAATAAAGGAAGCATACCTAATTTGTAATGGGTTCTAATTCAATTATGGCTTACAATTTATGTCTTTTATATAAGGAAAAATATTTATTTATTATTGGACAAGGCATAAACGAGTTATTAAGGAATTATTTGCAAAAGACGGGCATATTTTGTTTATTTAACTTTGAGAATTGTCATTAATTGTTAAACATATTTGATACACATATTAGAATGTGTATGCCTTAGTATTAGGTGTGATGCCTTGTTCAACATATTTGATACAAAAAAGGGTGATTGTAGTTTTAGAATACGCGCGATGCGCGTGACCCTCTATCCATGCGTTATATAAGCTCTTGAAAATAAAAAATTTAAAAATATAAACTCCTAAAATGACAAATATTGAGCCTATTTAATCAAAAGAGAAGAGGATAGCCTAACTAAGCATGAAAATAACCAAGATAATTTTGAGAGTTTAGTGTTCTATTATGTATTCCCTTCTTTTATATTAATTCCGTTTCAAAGTAATCATTTAGGTACCATGTATTATAAATAAGTCAACTATAAAAAGAAGAAAATATAGCGATAGACAAATTATGTAGACAAATAACAATATATATGGCTATTTTTAATTTAAAATATTAGGTGGGAGGCTATTTGGGTTAATTCTTCATATTAAATGCTATCAATTGTATTAATAAAAAAGAATAGTTGTGATAATAAGTAGATGCAATTATGCAAACATCAAACGATCATCACAAATAATGCTCGCTTACTATCAAAGACTTAAAACAAACGCATTGAAGTTATCTTAAAACCAATTATTACCTCAACAGCTATACAAAAATAATGTAAGATTTATACATTATCAAGGCAACAGGTAATAAAATGATATATATATATATATATATATATATATATATATATATATATATATATATATATATATATATATATATATATATATATATATATATATATATATATATANCAAATAATGCTCGCTTACTATCAAAGACTTAAAACAAACGCATTGAAGTTATCTTAAAACCAATTATTACCTCAACAGCTATACAAAAATAATGTAAGATTTATACATTATCAAGGCAACAGGTAATAAGCTATATGCTATATATTGATATATCATAAATGTGATGATAGTGTAATTTCACATTGTATGTGAATATTAGTTAGACTTTAGATTTTATTTTTATTATATATAGAATAAGAAATTTGTAGTTCTTGTCTAGATAAATTGCTCTTTTGCTTGCCGTTTTCATGTTATACTTCCTTAGGAAGCAAAATCGTCACAAACATGTTACTCAAACAAAAGCAAACATCCAAATATAGAAATAGAAAAATACTTCCTCACCCTAAAAAAGTAAAAAGTATAACACTGTTTTATTAGCAGAGAAAATAATTGTTCTTTTATTATTTTAAAATTTTAGAACTCAATATGCGGTAATGATCATGTAACGTTTTTTTACATAATCGTTATAGTTTAACATATTAGTTATCATTTTGTTAAGCTACTAATTAAATTATTTTATTGTTTTATTATAAATTTACTTATAAATATCTTATATGTGATGATACTATTGTACCTCTCTATAAATGCATCTTTATATAACAATCATTCACTATAAAAGTCAAGTTTTTTTCTAGAACTAGGGCTGGGCATATATCGGGTATAACCGATAGCCCAAACCGATAAAATGCTATTGGGTTATGGATATCAGGTTATTGGATAAATAGTTCGATAACGGTTTAATGTTATTTGACTATTGGGTTATCGGTTCGGGTCTCGATTTGACCAATTTTATTAACGGTTTAACCGATAGCCCAATAAGCTTTAACAAAATTATAGTTTTACCCACTAAGTATATAAAACCACCTTATGGTTTCATTCTCTCAATTCTCTCGGCATTTACTTTTCATCTTCAGACCTTATTCCTTAGAGTAAGTTTTAAACTTTTCTAAATTTCTCATCTTAATTCTTCCGTTAAGATTTATAGTTCTATACTTTAAAGAATTAATTGTTTAGATTTTTACTTTTTCTATTTGTTTCTTTTGTTGCACTGATTCTTTAGTATTTACAAGATTAGAAATTTATTATTTTTCTATTAGTTGTGTCTGCCTGCAGTGAGATAGTTAATAAGATTAGAATTATTGAATATCTTATTCCTTACTCCTACTAACTCATAACTTTGAAAATTGAGATCATTCATTAGGATTTTCAAATGCAAAGAAAGCGTTCTTTTCTAAAGTTGAAATTTAATCCATCTTTTTTTATGAGCAAAAATTCAGTTCCTTTCTCTTAACAGTATGATCACGATTTCTATAAATAAAAACATGAAAATTTTGGATATTTTTTATTCATATCGAGTAAACAGATAACCGAACCGATAAGGATCGATAACCAACAAAACGATACCCGATAATCGATATGCCGAACCGATAACATTTACAACTGAACCGAACCGAACCGATTGATGCCCACCACTACTTAGAACTGATTTTTTAAGTTATATTTTACCTCTCTATAACCGTTTTTTTTACCTATTACTGCAACAACTATATTTATAGCAGAACGCTCATTGTAAACTTAACCCTCTACAACATCCATATAGAATCTTTAAGGTTAAAAGGGCAGCCCGATGCACTAAGCTTTCGTTATGCGCGGGGGGTCCGGGTCTATTGTATGCAGCCTTACCCTGCATTTAGGCAAGAAGTTGTTTCCACTGCAAGAATCTTTAAGATTACATATAATAATTCTAAAAATATCTTTCCCATTGAACAAAATTTATATATTTGCATAAGTCATAAGATTTCAAGATTTGCACATGATATCTTTTTCATTGGATAAATGCAAAAAAATATTTAGATAGAAGATTTAACTGTTAAGCTATTAGATTGTCTTTAGGGGAAATCTATTGGATATCTTTTTGCTGAAAATTTGGATACAAATCTTCGCCAATTCAAGTGTTATATCGCTAGTAAGATAATGGAACGTACGAAACAAGCTATAATTACAAAGTTCTTCCATTAATCTTGAAAGACTTTATTTTCTAAGTAGCTTAAAAATGTGTACCTTAGAGTTCAAATCTTTATACATTTAGTTATGAATTTATTAATAATGTATTAGCTTTCTTCAAATTTAATTAGTGAAATATGCATATCTTTTAAGATTTAATTCGAATAATTTTCTTATCTTTTATATGTAATATTAGAAAAGGAAAATGAGTTGATTTTTGGATAATTTTTATCTATAATGAACAAAAATTATTTAAACCTCAAAATGCTGTTATAAATGTATAACAATCATTTATTATAAAAGCGAAAAAATATGGGAATAAATGAAGTTGTTATAGAGAGCTTGGATTGTATATGTAAATATTTCTTACGTCGAACTCCTACTTCAATTCCTTTTAACAATGGGAGTATTTACTTCCCTAATTGTATCCAAAAAGAATTAACTTTCCTAATTAAGAAAGGACCCGAAGTGCCACTCATCATTTCCTTATTAGATTAACTCCTTTTCTAATTAGGAAATGGATTATGGACCCACCTATATATTTCCCGCAAAACCCTTCCTTAAGTTAATTATTTTCCCGGGAAACTTTTACCCACATAGTAAACACCAAACTAACAACCAACCATTAAATAAAACATTATTTTTCCCAAAGTCTCATAAATATTCTCAACCTTAGATCTCTTTCACCTCTTTCTTCTTCTTCCCTTCGTCTTCTTCTTCGATCCACTATGGAAAACCCCAGTTCATCTTCAGATCTTAATCCCACTCTTAATCCCAAAACCCCATCACGGATTAATCAATTAATCCCGGGTTTTAATTCTTATCATCCATCGCCATCTCGAACAATCTACAGTGACCGTTTCATTCCCAGTAGATCTTCGTCCAATTTTGCCCTTTTTGACCTCCCTTTGCCCCCACATTCCTCTTCCTCTGAAGATTCCAGCAATGCATATACCTCACTGCTTCGTTCAGCTTTGTTCGGATCAGATTGCGGGTCGGTTGTGCCGCCTGTTACGCCCGAGAAGTCGTCGGGTTTAAATTCAAGAAATTTGCAGATTAGTAGACCCAATTGCAATATTTTTCGGTATAAGAGTGAGACCCGGCAATCTTTGCAGTCATTGTCGCCTTTTGGGTTTGATGATCAGCTCCCCGGTTTTAGTCCTAGCCCGGTCAAAGCTACTAGAAAAGTTCCAAGATCTCCTTTTAAGGTAAATTTTGTTGAATTTTAATGTTGTTTGATATCTGGGTTTTGCTTAACAATGTCATATGTTTTATTTTGGCCCTTTTCGAGTTTAAGTTATATACATCATTAGGTCACATCTACCTGTTGAAGCAGGTTTCTTACTTTTATGATTACTAGTCCTGTATTCAGGCTTACTTGTAAACATGTGACCTGATAAATATCCTTTGACTGACCTAATAGTGTGAAAAATGCTAATTCTTATTCGATTCTCCTTTTGGGATTTTGCATTCAAACCTAACTAAGTTATATGCACTGACAATGTAAAAAGAAAATTATAGTATCAGTGAATTTTAACTTGTGGTAGCAATTCAGTTATCGTTTTTACCAGATTACTAATTAATGTTTATCAAGAGATTTACTTGTAATGTTATTAAGTAGCCTCTGATTGTGTAAAATATATTTTACACTATCAGTGTGTGTTGAACTTAAACTCTTGGAATTGAGGCATGGTTGTTGTTTAATGCTCCTTTTGAGGTACTCAAAGTGGTTTTTTGGAGATTGTCTTGTTAGTGTAAATATGTGATTTTTACCTGTGGAAGGCTGATGTTTGGTGCTTGTTTCGGTTTTTGACTAGGTGTTGGATGCACCAGCATTGCAAGATGATTTTTATCTGAACCTTGTTGACTGGTCTCCGAATAATGTATTAGCTGTGGGACTAGGGAGCTGCGTGTATCTATGGCATGCATCTAGTAGCAAGGTGAGTTTCTTGGTTCTATATCTTTCTTCTTCATTGGAGTGAATTTTGGTGACTCTTGGTCGTGCATATTCAAATAATAGATCGTTAATTCTACTGGAATGCTATGTGCAGGTGGTGAAGTTGTGTGACCTGGGAATTGATGATAGTGTTAGTTCAGTTGGTTGGGCACAAAGGGGAACACATCTTGCTGTTGGAACAAGTAATGGGAAAGTCCAGGTGAGATTTACAAATTGCTTTACCTAAATTCCTATGCTTTTCTTATAGAAAACTGTATGCATGAGTGAAAGATGTCTGGGTACCCACTTAGTCTGGAGCTTTTCTGCTCATTAGGTTCAGTGTAATACGTCCTTGTATTAAAATCTTAGGGTTTGTCAGAAGGAAATTGCATATCCTGGCACCAGATTTATCGTCATATGAGAAAAAATGTCCTTGCAAAACTAATCTGAATTTTTCCTGCATTATCTCCATAAAGAGAAGATATTTAGAGTATCGACTCTTTGTTCTTTTCTAATGAGGAAGAAGCAGCATCGGAATTGAAGAGCTTTGTGGGGAATTTTCTCTTCGCAATTTTTGGAACTTCCATATCCAAGAGAATCTTTATAATGCATTTTCTGTGAAGTTGACGTATATCACAGTCCAAACTTTACAACTTAACATAGATTTCAATGGAAAATTGATTTTTTTCTTTAAGTAGCTTCGAGATAATAGACATGAGGTTTAAGGTAGATGGTATACTATAGTGGTTTCATTTCTTTGTCTCCTTTGTTTTTTGAATTTGGGACTCTAAATCTGAAAAAAGAATTCTCTTTACATGAAACTACTAATCCTTAACGAGTTAAGGTCAGTTATACGAATTCTTTATATCCATCTGCTCCATAAATTGGATCTCTAGTTTTTTTGAGATGGTAAATTGGATCTCTAGTTCTACACATCATTGCATGGAACTCAAATTTTCTGAAATGCATGCACAAGAATAGAGTTACCGATATGTTAGTTTAAGATGATAGAATCTTAGTAATGGCGTTTAATTAGTTTAAACATCCTTTGGTGTAGTTATGGGATGCCTCTCGTTGTAAGAGAATAAGGACGATGGAGGGACATCGATTACGAGTTGGTGCACTGGCTTGGAGCTCATCAGTACTGTCTTCAGGAAGCCGAGACAAGAGTATTCTTCAGCGTGATATCCGTGCTCAAGATGATTATGTCAGTAAGTTGAGTGGTCATAAATCAGAGGTGAGGCTTACTTCTTTCTTCTGTTTGGTTAACATCTTCTCTCTTATCAAACTCCCATTTTTCCCTTTTGCTGCTTTGTAATAGCAACTGCTACCTTTTTTTCAGGTTTGTGGGCTCAAATGGTCTTATGATAGCCGTGAATTAGCTTCAGGTGGAAATGATAATAGGGTATGTGGTTAATTTCTGGAACTAATTTTTTCTCATGATGCTTTTGGGTGATTGTTTGCATTTTAGTTGACTTAAAGTAAATCTTGATCTGCAGCTTTTTGTATGGAACAACCATTCAACACAACCTGTGCTGAAATACTGTGAGCATACTGCTGCTGTAAAAGCCATTGCGTGGTCCCCCCATCTCCATGGTCTTCTGGCTTCTGGTGGTGGCACAGCTGATAGATGCATTCGATTCTGGAACACCACCACTAATACACATCTCAGTTGCATGGACACTGGTAGTCAGGTATTTCCCCATTATAGCATCCATACCACTTTAATCTTCTGCCCTTCCGTACATGCTTGCACATTCAATAATATATTACCATATAGTAATCTTGATAGTTTCCCCAATAGCTAGTAACTTTGCTACCTAATTATATTCTCAGAAAAATGATCTTGCTGTTAAGTCTTCCTGCCCCATTCTTCATTTCAACTTGGTAATTGTTGGAAACTTGTTTGCCTCATTATAGCTGAACCAATGCAAAGGAACCACTAGGTGAATGAGCCATATTACATACTTTCCGCTAGGACAAGGCTAAATTAGAGGTGGTCTTTTTATTCTTCTTCCTTTTTTGTAAAATTGAGCAGAATAGATACCTTGTCTCTTGAAGAGAATAATAAAACTTATCATAAGAAGATGTAGAGTACAGAAAGCAGGGGGGGGGGGAGGGGGGAAGGAGAGACTGCTAGAGGCATGTAACCGCCTCTTTTCTTACCAAAACTTGAGGGTTCAGTAGTCAATCAAGTTTACTACAATTACCTGGAGAGGGAAAAGCACGCTAACATAAGTTCTGGCCGTTCAATTTAAGCATCGTATAAGGCGGCTTCAGTGAGGAAAGACCTAGCATCATAGGCACCAGGATGTTGGAACTGCAGATTTTTGCTCTCTTTTAACCCCATAAATGCCAGTACACCAATAAATTGTTAAAAGCTTTGAGAGGAGAAACACTAAATTTTTTTTGAATTTGTATGTGTTTTTGAGTTAGAGAGGGTGGGGGGAGAAGGAGAGTATACTAGAGAGTTTACATGATTGTGCGAAAAGACTAGTATTTGCAAACAAGGAGCTAAAAAGAAAGGCTCTCCCATCTGTTCTTCCTCTCTTTTTGTCTCTCTAGGCATTTTTTACTGTTCATATTTGCAACGGCAAATTTTCCTAATATAAAAGTCTGTTAATCCTGTGGCAGGTCTGCAATCTTGTGTGGTCTAAGAATGTCAATGAATTAGTCAGCACACATGGTTACTCTCAAAACCAAATAATAGTTTGGAGATATCCGACAATGTCTAAGGTAGGTTTCTCCTTGCTTAGCTGCAAAAGTACAGGAATAGAGATTCCTTTGTTTGATATATCGTTCTGTTACTAGCTTGGTCACAAGTTCTTTGCTGTTAATGCAGATAGCTACACTGACAGGCCATACATATAGAGTCTTATATCTTGCTATCTCTCCAGATGGACAGGTAACTGACCAAAAAATTGTTCATTCGTCTGTTCATTTCTTCATACGTTTCTAAGTGCAATATCAGCAGCTTCATTTTCATTACACTTGTAATTCTCTAACTGCTGTTATCATCGCTGCAGACAATTGTAACTGGAGCAGGAGATGAAACACTTAGATTCTGGAATGTTTTTCCTTCTCCTAAATCTAAGGTAAACCTTATGGTCAAAGACCATAAATGTTAAGTTGAATTCATCTTTATAAGTTTTTAGAAAAAGCGAAAGCATCTCACATGTGAATAATGTTATTCGTGCAGAACACCGAGACTGAAATTGGCGCATCTTCGCTTGGTAGAACTCATATCAGATGAGAAATTGTAATTATTTTCCACTCCAATAAATTTTTGCACAAGAGTATAGCAGCACCACATTTTTCTGTCTGACGGGACGGCAAAAAGTTGCAGGAAGAATCCTAAACATGCAACTAATAAGATGATCTCTGTCATCTTGCATTTTATTTTGAGTCAATTATTCTTTTATATAGTTCACAAGTGTATAGTTGGAGATGTTATTTAATTCTCATTAACATCTCCTATTCATTCTGTAATAATATATGGGGAGAGGGAGGGAGGTTCTATTGTTAAGGAACATCTAATGTAAGGAACACCTCTGATCCTTGTACATAGAAGTCATATTTTTTCCTTGGATTCATAATTTACATGCTGAACAATCTGTTGTACTTATTTCCTATCTGATATAAATAAGTCTCATCTATTTTTCACCTTTCTCCTTTGTAGGTTTTTGTCTTTAAATCATTCTTGAGCTGTGTTATTTTAAGGGAAATAAGAGTAAAGATAGAAAACAAGTCAAAGGAAAATAAATGAGCAATGATTATGGAAGATGTCTGAGCCACTCTACTTTATATAAAAGTGAAAAAAAAGAGAGAGTAATGGTACTAGCTTTCAGTGGCGGAGCCAGAATTTTCATTAAGTGGTGTCAAAGTATATAAAAGTAAATATACGACAAAAAACAAAGGGAGTCAACATATAATATATATGTCTATAAAAATAGGTTTCACCTATTTACACAGTGTATTTTCTTTCATGAAGGGGAATCAGGTGACATCCCTTGCTATAAGGTGATTCCGCCACTGCTAGCTTTAGGTATAAAATAGAGGAAAAACACATTTGGCTGCAAATTATCATCCCAAACAGATTTTTAAAGAATACTATATGTTTATACCAAACGTCAAATGCAAGCAATTCATTTCACCGAATTAAAATTCTGAATCTGCTTCTGATCAAACGTTTCCCATGATGGTCAAGATTTACCAAGTTTGTAAACACCTCATTCATCTAAGAACTATTTTTAAATTTTGCTAGGGTTTTTCTATCTTCTGAAGGGGAGACTTGGAGCAAAGGTAAAATTATACCTGTGTGACCTATAGGTTACGAGTTCGAGCTGTGAAACCAACCACTAATGCTTGCATTAGGATAGACTATCTATATTAATACCTTTGAAGTGCGGCCCTTTTTCGAACCCTGCGTAAATATGAGATACTTTGTACACCAGGCTGTCTTTTTCTGTCCCTTGGTGACACAGTTAGATGCACGTTTCCATCAAGTGCAACTGTTCATTAGGCATAAATTTAGATCATGAAAAACATAACAATGCATTAGGCAAACCAAACTAACTTTAATTGACTAGCACACAACTATTAGGTATCACCATCCTAAACCTAATGCTTTTGTCTTTAATCATGACTCCAATATTATTTACATTTCCAATCAATAAACAATCCTTTTTCCATAGCCCTATACAACACCGATAACAATAACAACTATGCTTCAGTCACAAACCCGAATAAAGGAGAAAGATTCCAGTAGACTGACAGCCAGCCAATGTAAAACTAGCCAATTCGTGATGTTTTCATAACCCTATAATGATAATTAATTAATTACGATAAAATAACATAAACCAACAGAATCATTATCTTTTTAACTTTGCTGCTCTTGCAAGCCTTGGATGGGCTCAACATCAGTCCCAGAAATATCATCAGAATTCCAAGGAATCAAACTCATTGGGGGAAAGCAACAAGAACAAGATTCTTGACAAGGTTGTGGTAAATCCCAGTTGCTATTGCTTGTAGTGTTTGTATTTCCCATTTTCCCACCTACCCCACCAGAAGATGAAGGGGAAGCTGCATCTTTGAGTGGACCCCAACACTCTACTTTGTTGAATTCTTGAATGTTTGAGTGAAAATAAACCCAAACTAAAGCTTCTTGTAACTCTGGATAATTGTTTAGTAAATTCCCATCTCCATGAACAAAAGCCTTCAGAACCTAATGCACAGAAAATAAAATAAAATAAAAATAATGTCCATTTTCTAAAAAGGCAGCCTGGTACTAAGCTCCCGTTATGCGCGGAGTCCGGGGAAGGGCTGGACCATAAAGGACTATTGTACGCAACCTTACCCTGCATTTCTGCAAGAGGCTGCTTTCATGGCTCGAACCTGTGACCAAATACTGGTCACATAGCAGCAACTTTACCAGTCACGCCAAGGCTCACCTTCTTTCTGAAAATATGATATTACAAACAATTTATGAACTTACCACAGGGAGCTCTTTGCAGAAGATATAGTATCTGAGTCTAGCAAACAAGTCTAACAAGAAATGGCCTCCACTAATGTGACAGTGGACATGAAGTGACATCTTCCCTTTAACTTTCTTCCATTCTGCAACCACTTCATCTCTTTGCAATCTATTATACCACCCTTGCAACTGCAAATCAGACATCCAATCTCCTCTTTTTCAATAATTTTCTCAACAAAATTTCTATTAATATACCAAAATATTAAAAATTCAGTGTAGAGACGCATTCAAGATTTAAAGGAACCCCTTAATATCTTCAAATTTTTTATATATGTATATTGGGAAGAGTCCTAGATAGTAGCACACGTGCACCTGCAACTTGCATGCTAAATTCGCCCCTAGATCAGTGAAGAACATAGGCGGATGGAGCCTATGTTCAATGGTTTCAACTGAACCTAGTATATTTTGACATAGAATATAGATATAGATATGAATAGTCAATAAAATTTCAAAAATATAAAATTATAACACATAATTTCAAAGTATAACCTGTTCAGCACTATGAATTTAAAAAGTTGAACCTATCAAATTGTACCAAGAATGGTACTTATTAGTGAAATTTACTTTACTTTATCAAGAATGAACCTATCAAATTTAAATTTTAAAAATCTACCTCAAGTGATGAATGACAATTACCCCAATAAAGTAATTGATCATCAGCTGCAGTATTTAGCCCATAAATACTAGTTAGGAGTTTTACAGATTTTTTTTCTTAGCAGAAACGTATTTGCAGCAATCACGCTTCGTGTCACAGGGCGTCAATCCTCACGAAGCGGATGAATTCCTTTTGTCCACAACCTACTTACCCTCTCTAAGATGCAGAGAACTAATCCTAGCCGCCCTCTCTTGAGTCTCCCAAACACCCATAGTGGTGTATACATAAGGCTTAGGGTTAGACCTAACGAACCGACTAATTAGCCAGCACCCCTTATGGGTGTATCATGTCCAAAAGGCTATTTTTTTCCATGGACCTTAAAGATCTTATGACTCCAAATTTACACTAAGAAAACTACTTCAAGAATCAATATATCAAAACTATTTTTGAGGATCTGACACGGGTCCGACACCTATTTTGGAGAATCCGCACAACACAGAAGAAAACTACTCCAAGAATCAATATATCAAAATTATTTTTGGAGGATCTGACACGGATCCAGCACCTATTTTGGAGAATCCACACAACGCAGAAGAAAACTACTCCAAGAATCAATATATAAAATTATTTTTGGAGGATCTGACACGGGTCCGGCACATATTTTGGAGAATCCGCGCAACACAGAAGAAAACTACTCCAAGAATCAATATATCAAAACTATTTTTGGAGGATCTAACACGGGTGCGGCAGCTATTTTGGAGAATCCGCGCAACACAGAAGAAAACTACTCGAAGAATCAATATATCGAAACTACTACTACTAAGGTAACCCTCCCCTGTTCACTCTCTTTCTCTCAGCAGTACGAACACAAAGAACATATGTTATCAGGTTAAAAAATAGAATTAATTACCTGAGAATTATTAATGGTCTGAGAGATAGCCAAAGTGAGTTTAGAGGTAACATCACTATGAGTCAATGTATATGTTCTTGGCAGCTTTCCTGGATGTTTTTTCTCATCAACTCCTAAAAAAAGTACCTTCAACTTTGAGGCTTCAAATATAGCTGGTCCAAATAACCTTGCCACCTATTAATTTAAGAAACAAATAAACTATCAACGGAATTCAATTAAAAATTGGAGAAAACAATATCTGAATATTAAATTCTGAAAAGCAAAAAGGAGAGAAAAAGAGAGTGGAAAATTACAGGGACTATGGATTGATTCTTGTTGGATTTCCTTCTGGTTTTGTATATAAAAATAGAGCTTTGCTTTTCAGGTTTGAGCTTAGATGGAACTACTAGAGAAGCAGTTAAAGTTCCCATCTCAGAAACACCTGAAATTATAGCTATTTCTGAGATTCAAGAAGATGGGTATACTAAATTCCTTGAATCTTGGAGCTCCAATATATCAGGAAAATTCTAAAAAAATATTTTTGATTAAATATATGTACAAGTTAGGTGTTGAAAAAAGTGAGCAAAGGATTAGTTTGATTACTTTGTTGCTTTTGCTTTACTTAGATTTTTTTTTTTTCGTGAATGCGTTAGGCTTTGGTGACTTTGAAGATTGGCATTCATACGTGTAATTGTGTGTGTGTTTTTACACTTTTACTGTGTGAGAGAGAAGGAAAATGAGACCAGAGAGATGTAGAAAAAACTGGAAAGAGACAAAAAAAGGCAGTAGGCATTGCGTATTGAGTGTTGAAATTAGAAGAATATGATTGCTTAAACCAGCTTCTTAGTTGTGATGTTAACTTTATTTTATTAAGGGGTCGTTTGGTACAATGATAGGGATATTCCACTGGAATATTTTATGGGATTAGTTATTTTACTTTTTATATAAGATAATTAATTCTATTATTTTAGTGTAAAAACTATTCTGGGATAAGTTAATACCCAAACCAAACATAGGATAAAGTTAATCCAAAAATTTATTTCGGAATTATTATTCTCATCCTATGTGCCAGACAATCCTTAGGGCTCCTTTAGTACGAGGGATAAGAGATAATTAATTTCGGAATTAAATTTGAGATAAGTTCATTCCATGTTTGGTTGGGATAAAAATGTGGTATAACTAATTTCGAAATTAGTTATCCTGGAATTGTAGTATTTTTTTATCCCCATGGGAGGGTGAGATAACTAATCCCGAAATAACTAATCTCGAAACAATTAATCATGAGATGCCTTACTTCCCAACCAAACTACCCCTTAGAGTGTTTTTTTGCTGCATGATTTAGGTTTAAACACGTAGGTGTTTTAGGCGTCATTTGTTTCTTTTAAGATTAAGACGTCTGAATCTAAATACACATCTGAATATTAAGATGTATATTAAGATTAAGATATCTGAATCTGAATATATTAAAATGTGTATGAAGATCTAAATAAAAATAATTAAGACTGTTTGATTTTTAACATCTGAAAGTATAAAATTTATCTTTATTTGAAAATTAATAAACATAAAATTCAAATGAAATAGTAACTAATCTAATATTCTATCAATAAAATATATAGTTTTTCAAAATATGTTAGTTGCTGGTGGTGAT